AAATAGGTTGTGGTGGAAGAGGAATGTTAGGTAGCATTTCTTTATAAAGTTGAATTCTTATAGGAGATTTAAGAAATACTTTTTTGACACTGGATATCATGGTATTTACAAGAGGAAACTTTTTTCGTATTTCCTCTGCAACTCTGTTTAATCCATGCGCTACACAAGTAACATGTATTAAATCTGGGAAAAATATTTTTAAATTTTGTCCTGCTTTCACCATATAAGGAGCAGCATCCGATAAAATAAGCAGTAATTTATTAGAAGGAATAGTTGTCGGAAGAAAAAAAGTTGCTAATGTTTCTTGTATAAAACGCGAAATTGTTAAAGCATTTGTTTTCTCAAGTTGCTGGCATGAAATAAGATGAGATTTTGGTAAGGTATCTTCTTTAAGAACACCAATCAATAAATGAGCAATATACTTTCCTGAGGAATCAGTGGTTTCGTCTACAGATATGTAAAAATAATTATCTGCAATTTCTTCCTTAATATTAATTAACACCGACGAGTATAGCCCGTTCACATTATTTCTTCTTAGAGACCGATCACTTGGAACATTAAGTTTGCAATATTTTTTTAGAAACGAACTAAAATTTACATTTGCTAATTTTGAAAGCGGTATGTTTGCAGACACTAATGCGCGACACAAGTCTTCATTAAAAGTTTCTTGCTCATCTAATTTTTTTGAAGTAGATTGGAAACATTTAGCCATTGAAGTTTGATGTTTTCCTCCTATTTTTCCTTTTTTTGCAATGTGTGAAGCAGTTCTCACATGTTGGTCTATCTGAAATTTCTTCTCACATGCTATCTATAAATAAAAATAAAAACCTTTATTTTAACCCAACCTTTAAAATATAAAAATATACAAGGTGTTTTTGGTTAATCAAATAACTGGTTTGGAAAAAAAAACACTCGCTAAGTGTTTTAAATGCAGTATTAATCCACAAATTAGTTTTTGTTACTAACCATTAGTACATCATATAACTTATTTTAAAATTCAACAAAAGTTTTTTTTTTGTTAATTCAATTACAATAAAAATAATTGTGTTTTAGAATAGCTGACTTCATAAAAAAAAGTAAAGGTGAAAAATTTTTCTAAATACACACCATTGTATTGTACCATGGACAATTTTTTCTCACTAAAGGAAGCTATTTTTCATTTAAAAACAACCTACGAGTACTAAATTTCAAGTAAATACGTTTATTGGTTTTAAAGTTATTGTTGTTATTAACTAAAAGAATTTAATTTTTTTTAATTTTAACACCCTGTATCTCGAAAAGTAAATAAGTTTGACCCCTCATTAACTATATCGTTTTGTTCAATTTTTCGAGAAGTATCTACAGTCAAACGTTGTAAGTGTCATTTGGAAACACCCTGTATGTATGAAATATTAGATATTTAATAGAAAATATTAGATACTTACAATTTTGCCACAGACTGAACAGTAGATTTTTCCCATATCCATAGACAGCTCTTTATAAGGTTTAATCCAAGTTGAAGCACTGGTTGTTTTAGGCATTATAAAATCACAATCTTCCTTTTTGTTACGCACAACGAGTGTTTACGCTTTGAATATCAAAACAAAAATGATTTACAAATCTGAGCATCAAATTAGAAATGTTTAGGTACCTAATTCAATAAACTGGGAGATTTTGGAAAATCCCTAAATTAGGAACAAAACTATTAGCCGTTTACCTGCTGTTAAGATACAATAAATTGTAGATAGATTTGGGGATTAGATCATAAAATGCAAATGAGCGAACCCTTAGCGATTATCCAATAACTGAATGCCTCAGTGACCGAGACTTTCTAAGAATGTTGAGGGCTACTTAAATTGATCTTCTTTGAAATTGTAAATGTTTTGTACCTGTAGAGATTACGTACTTAGATCATTTCTTGATTAAAATGACTACAAAATTTTATACAAGAATTGAAATAAATTGGTATGTTTAAAAATTTTCAAATACAGTATAAAAATCTGAACTTTTATGCACTTTATGCAAACTTTTATACAAATATGCCAAAATATGAAATATTTGCATAAAATATGCACAATATGCAAAATATGCAATATGCATATTTGCCGAAGTCTGCTTGGACCTGTTTCATCATCAGAGTTTTCGAAAATATTTTCGTGTTGCAAATGATTTTCTTTCAAATCAGATAAATCGGAAATATCCGAAATATTTGGATCTACATGAATTATTACAAGCGTTTTTTCTTCCCATAAAAACATGCAGCCCTGATTGGCTTTCTATAATAAAAAATAATTTTCGTTGTAAAATCTGCAACAAAAAAAGCTTGCCATAAACGGGCAATGATGCTTTTTACCTACATAGTTTTTTGAATGCACATATTACCGTTATATAGGTCTTTTATCACTGTAAATATTTAAAGAACTAAAGTAATGATCATTTATATTCAATATAAAGACAAAATATTATGCAAAAAAGATTTTTACCTACTTTTATGATGCAATATTTATTTACTTTCAAGCAGCATGCACGCACACAGCTGTTCATTTTCGCTCATATTGAAATAAAATTTCTCAAACTTTGTAATAGATGGTGCTGCCAGCCTTAACACTAATAAAAGACGTTGTAGTTTAAAGGCAAAATCTCTAGATAGGGTATGTAAAGCACTATGCTATTGAAATTATCGTTCAAATTTGATGTTTCGGAAGTATATAGTCCATTTCCATCATATTGATAGCACATTATGTATGCAAATCCCTAAACTGTTGATACGGGTGACTCAATGAAAAATAGATATTTGTCAACAAGTTTACAGAAGTATATAGGAAAACAATTTTAAATTGAGTATGACCACCAGGTATAAAGGTTGAAGCAGAATAGAATACAATAGTTTTGAGGGTTACTAATCCCTGAATAAAGTTGCCAGTGTCGGAGTGATGGAGATTAACAGGTACTAATGAATTTGCAAGAAATGTAAGATGTTTATTTTATTGGTTATATATAAAATAATTTGTGGCCGTAACAGGGGCCGATTTGTAAAAAAATGAATATTATTTTAATCAAATTCCATTTCAGATTCACTGCTTTCTTCAGAATCTAAGGAATCTTCAACTCCAATGTTAATTATTACCGGTTCCAGCATTGCATCAGTCATATTATCCAAATTCCACATTTTATTTTCTTCCTTGTGAGCATGACTAACAGCATTTTTTCCAATTTTCTGGAGTTACTTTTGATAAGGAATGTTCTAATAATTGTTGTAAGTCTTCTAATTTAAAAGTTTTGTTGTTGCGTCCGACTTCACCCTTTACTTGAGACCATATATTTTCTATCGGATTCAGATCACAGTGGTATGGGGGTAAACGTAAAATAATTACATCACGGTTTAATGCCATTTCATCAATTATATATTTTTTATAAGCTGCTTTATGTTGCCTTACAATAGGTAATAATTCCTTTTTTGTCGAATTCTCCTTGTACTCAATTGCGTGTTTATCCAACCATTCGATTATCTCTCGTTTTTTCCATGCCGTTGTTGGCAATTTTTCTGCTAATGGTAACTAGCATTATCCATGACTATGACAGAATTTTTTGGAATTAAATCCAACATTTGCTCAAAATATTCTTCAAAAACGTCAGCAGTCATTTCCTCGTGGTAATCTTTGGTTGATTTTGAGGCAAAACTTAATAATCCACCATTGACAAAACCATATTCGTTTCCAATATGGGTTATTATAAGTCTGCGTCCTTTTTCAATGGGAATATGTAATCTTGTAATATGTACTATTTTTCAATTAAAACGGATTTTCTTCTATTCTTTTGCCAACGAAACCCCAACTCTCTCAATATTCCCCATAATTTCTTGTTGCTTATGATTGGTAACTCTTCGTTTTCTCTAATTAATGTTTGGATTTTGTCCAATGTTGGAAATTCTTTGTTAAAAAAAATGAGTGGACGCTGCGTCTTATCATGTTTTTATGTATTTCTTCAATTTCCAAGGATTTACTCCCTCCACTCTTCTTGGGAGATGAAACAGTTCCTCCTTTTCTTTCTTTTAGGAATCTATAAATTGTTGCTTCTCCAACCCCTGTCATATTTGAACACATGTTAACGATTTCACGAACATTACTTAAAGGGCGTTGATGTACAAGTGCATCGTGTACATTTAATATTATATTTTTCTCTCTTAGACTGAAGGCACCTTTAAAACTACACTTAACCGGGATAAAACCTGTTGTCGACGTCATTTTTAAATGCAAATAACAAAATATCGACACCAAAAACGTAGGTAGGTAAGACATGAACAATGTACATCTACAAACTAAATGGAAGATGCAAACAATTTCTAATTTATATTATTGGCATAAGCTGTAATGTGGCATAAAAACTACTTAAACTATCATTAGTGAAGCCTTATCAGTAATTCCAGGTAATCGTTCAAAGAAGGTATTCTTTTTGTGTCAGGCGATAACTTGTATAGAAAACAATAATCACCTTTAAATTACTGTTTACATTAATTTATTTCGTGAAACATTGAATTCTCTCGTTAATCACCCGTGTATAATTAACAATAATCGTGTGGCATATATACCGACGTTTTTTACGCACAAAAAAGGTATAGTGAGATTAGTGGACACTTATTTTACAGAAGATTTTTTAAAAGATAATGAATTGTTGACGGCATCTTAAAATATTAATTTTTTTTATTTATTTCAAAACAAGTATAGGGTGACGCCTATGGTTTTTTGACCTGTTGAGGATTTGCATACATAATGTGCTATCAATATGATGGAAAAGGACTATAGTCGGTTTGAAAATTATAAATGGCATCGTTTTTATTTTACAAGTGGCAATCTTCATTGTCACCTATTCATTTAATGTTTTATTGTAAATTGTTCTAAAAAAACTGAGAAAGAAGATATTGTGTATTTCCAAATCGAGAATAACTAGATATTTTGTACGATACGAGTATGATTGACGTAGACTTCGAGAAAGCTAAAACAGACAATATTTTCTCTTTGCAGGTGACAAAAAAGCGGAAAAAGCCCAGGAAGATGTATCCAAGAACCTTGTCCTGATCAAGAACATGCTGTATGGTACGTCGGATGCTGAGCCTCAAGCGGATATTATAGTAGCGCAACTAGCTCAAGAACTCTACAATAGTAATTTGTTGTTACTTCTAATTCAAAATCTGAACCGAATTGATTTCGAGGGCAAAAAAGATGTAGCCCAAGTGTTTAATAATATATTAAGAAGACAGATCGGAACAAGATCGCCTACGGTAGAATATATTTGTACTAAACCTGAGGTCTTGTTTACCTTAATGACTGGGTAAGTTACTGTTTTTACTAAAATATGTATATAATTTAAAAATCGAAGTCGTGACTTTTTTTACACTAATGCTTTAACCACGCAGAGCCATTAACGTGTTGTTAGAGCCAAAAAATTGAGCCTATATGAGCCGCTGAGAGCAAAAGTGGTGTAAGTCAAAAAATCTAGTTCTCAGCAAACTAGTCATCATCATCATCACTGGCTCGACAACCCTTTTTGGGTCTTGGCCTGTTCAAGGATTCTTCTCCATTCTGACCTGTTTCGTGCTTTTTTTTTCCAGTTTTTAATTTTTAATGTTGTTATATCATTTTCTATTTGTTCTACGTATCTCAGCTTCGGTCTTCCTCTTGTTCTTTTTCCTACTGGCACTTGTTTGAATATTTTGTTTGGTATTTCGCCTTCTTCCATTCTTTCCACATGTCCAATCCAACGTAGCCTTCCTATTTTAATGAATGTTATGATATCCGGATCCTGGTATATGTTGTATAGTTCAAAGTTATACCTTCTCCGCCAAATCCCGTTTTCTTTTGTGCCCTTATATATGTGTCGCAAGATTTTTCTTTCAAAGGTGGCTAATAACGTTTCCTCCCTTTTAGAGAGTGTCCAGGTTTCTGAACCGTATGTGAGTACCGGTCTTATTAAGGTTTTGTATATTTGGCATTTTGTTTTTCTGGAGACGTTATCTGATCTTAGTTGCCTAATTAAGCCATGGTAACATTTATTGGCAATAAATATTCTCCTCTTCACTTCCTCTGCAACGTTGTTATCAGACGTAACTAGGGATCCTAAGTATGTAAAGTTTTTTACCGCCTCAATGTTGTATTCTCCTATTGTTAAATTTGGCAGCTGCCTTATTTGTGCGTTTTTATTTGCAGGCATATATTTTGTTTTTGTCTGATTGATTTTAAGACCACTATTTTTTGCAGCTCGTTCTATTTGAGTGAATGCCTCTATCATTTCTCTTCTTGATCTTGCGATTATGTCAACATCATCTGCAAATGCTAGTACTTGCACGCTTTTATTAATTATTGTTCCTCGGGTATTAACTGTTGTGTCTCTTATTATTTTTTCAAGTATGATGTTGAATAATATGCATGATAGAGCGTCTCCCTGGCGTAGTCCCTTCTTCACATCTATTGTTTCCGTTAATTCGTTTTGTATCCGGATTTTACTTTCTACTTTTAGTGTTTCTTTTATCAATTCTATTAGCTGTGTTGGTATATTAAATTCTTTCATTGCTTTTGTTAGGAATTCTCGGTTTATATTGTCATATGCGCTTTCGAAGTCTATGAAGAGATGATGTGTGTCGATGTTATATTCACTTGTTTTTTCAAGGATCTGTCGCAGAACAAATATCTGGTCTATTGTTGACTTCTGTCTACAGAAGCCACATTGGTATTTGCCAACTATTTTTTCAGCGTATGGTCTAAGTCTTTCATACATTACGTTGGACATTATTTTGTATGCCGCATTCAACAGCGTGATTCCACGGTAGTTTTCACATTCTAACTGGTTTCCTTTTTTATGTAGTGGTACAATAATGCCGCTATTCCACTCCTTTGGTAGCTGTTTATTCAACCATATCTTTCTTATCAGCTCATGTATGGCTTTAAGTAATGCGTCTCCTCCTTCTTTCAGTAGCTCCGATGATATTTGATCCGATCCCGGTGATTTATTGTTCTTTAATTTGTCCACTGCTGTTCTAATCTCTGCTATTGTTGGTGGACTCTTTTCTCTGTTGTCTGCTTGGTCTAACGGTATATCAGGGTTCATCTCCGTCCTATTCACCCCAAGCTTTTCCTTAAAATGTTCTGTCCATCTTCTAAGTATCTCTTGCTGTTCTGTCAATATATTACCCTCCTTATCTTTACACATCGTTGTTCTCGGTTTGAACTCTTTTCTGCTTTTGTTGAGTTTCTGGTAAAATTTTCTTGTCTCTGTTGGTTTACTTAGTTCTTGTAGTTCTTGAAGTTCTTTGTTGATATATTCTCTCTTCTTTCTTCGGTGAATTTTCTTTTCTTCTTTACGTAGTTGTTTATATTCTTCCTCTGCTTGTCGGGTTCTGTGCCTCTGTTGCATCTGTAGATATGCTCTGTTTTTTCTTTCTGTTATAGTTTGACATTCTTCGTCAAACCAGTGATTCGTTCTTGTTCTTCTTTCTTTACCTTCCATGCCCAACACCTCTTTAGCTGTTTCTTTTATGATTTCTCTGCACTCTTCCCACTCCTCATTTAGGTTTTCATGTTTTAGTCTGTTTTCTAGTTTGATGCTTATATTTTCTTTGTACTCTCTATTTTTGTTTGTTTCTTTGAGTCCTTCTATATTGTATCGTTCATGTTTAGAGCCTCTTTCCTTTTTGATGTTTGAAATTCTACCCCTTATCCTACTTTCGACTAGGTAGTGATCAGAATCCGCATTTTCCCCTCTTCTGGTACGGACTTTTATTATATTCGATTGGTGTCTTGAGTCTACAATAACATGATCTATCATATTCACTGTAAGTCCGTCTGGTGATTTTCAGGTGCCTTTGTGTATATCTTTCATGATTTGTGTATATCTTTCTTTTCATTTCCGAGCGAAGTATGTGCTGGCAATCACCATGTTAAGTGATCTTGCTAGGTTTACCAACCTATTGCCATTGTCATTTGATTGCTCATGGAGACTGTGCTTACCTATTGTGGGTTGGAATTGCTGCTCTCTTCCAACTTTTGCGTTTAAGTCTCCATAAATTATTTTTATATCACTTTTTGGGCATGACTGGTATGCGGACTCTAATTCATCATAAAACTCTTCTTTGACTTCCTCTTCTTTTTCTTCTGTGGGGGCATGCGCATTAATTAGGCTGTAGTTGAAGAAACGTCCTTTAATTCTTAAAATACACATTCTGGGACTGATGGCTCTGAAGTCTTTTATTATATGTCTTACTCTCTTGTTAACTATGAATCCAGTGCCCAAAATGTGATCTTTAGGAGCGCAGCTGTAGAAAATGGTATGGCTCTTTTTTTCCATAATATTGTTTCCAATCCACCTCATTTCTTGTATGGCAGTTATGTCAATTTTGTATCTACTTAGTTCGTTTAAGAGATTTTGAATCTGTACAATGTTCGAACATTCCATGTCGCAACCCTCAAATCGTGTTCCTTTTTCTCGCACAGTCGTCGTCGTTTAATCAGTCCGGCTTTTCTTCCTTGAACGTTCATAACTCATGGTTTTTCTAGGAGAAGGTAGTTAACCTTCAGCCCAACCCCCTATTCGTCGGAGGACCAAGACTCCCTTCTTCGTCAGCCCTGACCCCACCTTCCATTGGGGGTTGGTTACCCAATCTCCAGTGGGGTTCAGCAAACTAGTGCTTTACTAGAAACTCTGTACAGACGAAAGTTTTTATGAAATTTGTTATTTATTTAGACAAATGAATGTATCATATAATGATCATGCTCATAGTATGTATTTTCACCTAATAATCTCCATAATGGAGATTTTATTAGCCTCTTAAATGACTTACACCACTTTTGCAGTAAACTTACCTAATGGTAATGACTTACGCCACTTTTACAACATGTTTAATTATTATTTGCTGTTTATGATTTGCATTGAAGTGATGTCAGACTAAAGGCTATAGCGGGATAAGATAGTCAAAATTGCACCATGCTCGATTTAGTTTTGGGCCTGGCCATTCGAAAGGACATAATTAAAAACTCACTCAGTTAAATTTTCAAGTCCTTAGGTGCCTCTGGGGGTTCGCTATGGGAAAAAACGTATTTAAAGAAAAAAAAATTTTTTTAGACGCTGTATTGCTGCAAAAAATCTGAAAAAATTCATGAAAGCGTAGTTTAATAATACAATACTACCTGATTTTTTTCAGATTTTTAGCTTGAAAATTGAGCCAAGGAAAAATATTTGAAATTTTCAGTAATATTTTAGGTTATGTCGGAAATTTTTGGCCAACTTTAAAACAATGTTTTTTTATGGGTTTTTTCCCGTTCTTTCGAATGGCATAGGTATTATTATCATTTTCAACGTGGAAAATGCCTAAAAATCGAAAAAACTGCTTTTTTTGGCATTTTTCTGAAGCACCCCCACCCCTTAACAATAAATTGTATGGGCCTAGGAACAAAACAAAAAAAATAAGTATTACATAGAAAACAAAAAATTTATTTATACTGCCATAAGATACAATAATATCAGTTTTTATAAAATAAAAAAAATATTAATAAAATAAACATAAATTAGGTTTTTTAGTGAGATGGATGACTCATAACCTTAACAACATACATCTAAATTAATGATAATTCATATTTTTATATGTATTCTTACCTTTACAATCGAAACAAGCTATTAAAACTATTATTTTTTTCCTACAGCATGCTAAAAAAAACGAAAAACCCCGTTTTTTCGGCGTTGTTTTTAAGCTTTCGCTATATAACCTCTAAAGTCAGTGTCTAAATGAATGGTAATTTACATTTTCACATGTATCTTTCCCTTTACAATCAAAATCAGTTATTCAAAGCATTAGTTTTATCTCACAACTTTCTGAAAAACCGAAAAACCCCGTTTTCTCCATGTTTTTACTACATAACCTCAAAAGACTCTGAAAAATGAATCGTGAATTAGAACGCACTTGTACACTCAAAAGTTGTGGAATTAAAAGCTAGCGAATATATCTACATATATACGTGATATTATATCACAATGTACATGCATTTATACACAAACGCATATCTATATAGTTCCATGACTTTTGAGATCCTTGTTATATAAATTCATAAGCTCGTACCATGCTCGTCCATGTCTTACTCTTCCGCTTAGATACAAGAGCCTTATACCCATGCTTATATTATTATTATTTTATTTTATATTTTATATGTACTTAACTGTTTTGGCCTTCATGTCTTAGCCCGACATCCCGCATATCCAGGGAGCCTGATTGTAACAGAAAACATAGCGTTGATAGTTGCGCCACACGGTAGTTGATATTAGGCGGCGCAACTACCAACGCCATG